TTTCCGTGCTATTCATATTTGATAGGCAATTTTGATGAAGTAAAGGTATCTCAACGTCATATTTCTCTCTGAAAGATAGACGATTTTGACATTGAACTATAAATTATTTTATTTTTGCAGCAAATGTTTGATCCATGTTTTTCATGTAATGTAATAGTCTTTATTGAAGTTGTATCCTAAAAATGGACATACATGTAGATCTAAGTACAATAAAGCATGGTTGTCATTCCATGTGAGAAACATTCAGAATAAAAAAAAGAAGATACACTAGTATAAAAAACTAAACTAAACACAACTAAAACAACAAACTTGCCCGAAAGTGGGTTTGAAATGCAAATTAATAAAGTAAATGTTAGGATTACTTATTTATGCATTATGCAAAATCTCATGTTAATGACAAATCCCTTATTTTGAGACTACAGTACTCATAGATGACAAACAGGGTTAATTTTACCCATGAATACCTGAAATTTAAACAAATTGAAAGAGTGGTTTTCTAGTTTCTAAAAGTAAAACAGTATCATTAAAATCCTAAAATTGAAACCAGTTTAACAACACACTGGTATTGACAATATTCATTGAAAAAGTTTGCCATTTCAAAACCAGTTGGTTTTGCTAAATTCCTCTCACAAATCTAAGGCTTGCTTATTATGGTATCATAATAAATACAATCGGGCAATCCTTTGAAAATAGATGGGATTAAAATGCCTTGGTGCCAAATATAATTGTGAGACCTTTACTGGTCTTGAAATTACTGCCACTTTTCAAACAAAATATAGCTACAATACATAAGATATTGACACTGCTTTTAGAATCACTTGTTGTGACAAGTTTGTTGATGATTGATTCAAAATGATATTGTTTGCAGGACAAATTGATGGTCAGGAGATAACTGCTGCTATGATATTACAACCTAGACCAAGGCCTCCAGTGGCAAGACGTAGTCCTCCCAGAAGACCACCTCCATGGAGAAGGTCACCTCCAAGATATAGAAGAAGGTTTGTATTCAAGAGTGGATGAAGTGTTTACTGATAGACCATTTCCCGTTTAATGGGAGATTCTGTGTTATGTGTAAAATCGAATGTATTAATAGAACAACAGTCATAACATCTTAGTGGCATCAAAACATGACATGGGATTTGTCAAGCGTGAAAGTAGTTTTGTGTGTGTATTTCACGCTTAATAATATGCTATACTCCTTTGATGATGGTCCATTTTGATGAAGTAAGGGTATCTCAACAACATATTCTCCTCTCAAGTATACATATTTTAACATTGAGCTATAAAAAACAAAAAATCAAAATAAAATTTTTGCTGCAAAAAAGCAAAATCTCGCAGTCAATGAAAAATTATTCATTGTCTTGTCTTTATTCCACTTCAGGCAGTGCACAGGGGTTGATAACTTTTGTACAATTTAACATTTAATTGACATTTATACAGGCTTAGGCTATATATTACCCTGGTAATATAGGAGTTACATTTTTTTTCTACTCTTAAGTTTATACTCCCCTGAATACTTTTCAGATATTCACACTTTTTCTTTTCTTCTAGATCACCTCCTCGCCGAAGAACACCGCCTCGCAGAAGATCTCGGTCCAGGTCACCTGTGAAAAGGCGCAGATACAGTCGTTCGAGCTCAAGCTCATCGCGATAATTTGCCTTTCAAAAACTCATTTTTTATAAGATTTGTTGCATTACTGTACATTTGTGTATCTTTGTTTTTTGCTCAAAGGTGTGTTTATGAAAATATGATCATGGTGGAAGTCAGCAGGGTTTAATAGTATCCTGGTATTGTGTGTGTGTATTTTAATGTGTATGTTTTATAATTTAATAGCATCTTTGAAAGTCAAGTGTGATAGGGTAAAAGTTCAATACTGATAACATTCAATAATTAGATTGACTATCTTGAATGTGTTTGAAGATTTTTTGTCTGTCTGATAGGTCACTTTCTGTAGTTTTATCCATGCCCTATGTCATATGAAGAATTCTTAAGGAAATAAACAGTTAAATTACAAAAATGTTTGCTTTTTCTATGAAAGAAAGTTGAAATTGTGTGTATTTTTTTAGACGTAAATTTGCACCCTTCAACCAAGACATGGCCAGTGAACCCATCACAACCTACTGCTGCTACATATTGGTCATGGTACAAATACTGTATTTGTGACTCTTCATTCAGGTTTACTATGGTCTACTTTGTGAAATGACATACTGTAAAATAACGGTACTTAATTTTAACTGGAATTAATTTTCGCCGAAAAGACTTTTTGTATGGAATTTTTACTGGTTTTTGAAGAGTTGAATGTAAAATTTAGGGGGAAAATTATTTGCTGGATTTTATTTTCAGCGAAAATTAATTCCAAATGAAAATACATGATTTTACATTATATGCCTAAAAATAAAAAAATGCAACTTCAATAAATCCTAGTACTTCTCTGCAACATCCTCCGAACTATAGAGGGTGCTACACATAAAAAAAGATAGAACAATTTCGAAAAATTTGTTTATAATTTCTTGGACAAGTTGAGCCAGCTTGTTTTGTGCCTTTAAACTTTTCCCTGGTGAAATGCATGGGATGTAACTCAAAGTTTAAGTTTATATACTGATCAGTAATATGTCTTAAATATTTCTGTAAGTAGGGCCATCATCTCTACGATGTGCTATGAGTTGTGATATATATTAACTATGTGTTATTGACAGCTACTTATTCAGTATCTGCGCAATTACCCCTTGCATGTTTTACATGTGAATTCATTTTACTATCCTGGAACCTGGCAAATATTATACCACTAATGAATAAAATGACAGGAGTAGTTTCAAATATGGAAATCAAGTAAAAATCAGTAGTAGCAGCATTCATCAACATAGTATTCCTTGGAGTACTTTTGTATAGTAGAGATTGCCAAATAGGTGCTACATAGTCGGTTAAGGCACAGTTGAGGGACTGTTTCAGTGCTAATGTACTCTCAGTGCAACAAACTTAAGGCATTCTCTTCATCTTTATAAGTATTTATTAATTTCAGTGAAAGTCAAATTGAACCAGCCAATCAACGAGCACAGTTACAGTATTTGTAAATGTTCTGTAATTCAATCGTCCAATAGAAACTTCTCGTTTCAGTTTTATTTGTGAAGGTATATAAGTATTTATAAGGATACAGAGAATGCCTTTAATGAGCTGAGAGTAGATCTTAAAGTGCCTGTGCAATGCCCACCCTCTCGTTTCCCATTTTAGATCTGTGTCCTACTGAAATGGGCAGTTATTTATTTTTTTGCTGAAAATGATTACTCGTATCCAAGTAAATTTGAGATATTTCTTGTGTTGTAGCTACGCCCACCTATCCTGAAACGGTCGACTGTTTCCGGATTTCCGACTCTCGCCGACAGTGCGCCACCAAATGCCAAAATGTGAGAGGAAGTCATACCCCTGAGCCGTAATAACACTGGTCATTCAGTATACTTTTAAACGGTATACCTTTTTTTTTTTTCAAAGCGTATGTATTTACACGTTTCTAATCGATCCGAAAGTGCGACATCAGTCATGGACCTGTCCTCGTCCATCACGTGCTCGTCCATGAAAAAAAAAACACAACTAGGTTTAAAGAGAAACGCTGACAACATAAACCTGGCGCAACGCTTTTGAAAGAAATAGATTCCGGACCATTAATCACCGAGGCGAATTTCAGAAGAGAGAGAGAGACGGCAAGTGTTTCAAATGAGTTGACTGTTTTTGCGATCTTGATTATCGTTTTATAGAGACCATTTAGTCCCTGTTAAGTAAAGAGTAACAATAATTTTGACAGTGACACGAAAACGAAGCGTCGGACAAACAGGAAATTACACAGCCCTTACCAACTGCTAATTGTTTTCATTTTCAAAGGCTAAAAGTTTCTGAATCGTTTGGTGATTGGTGTTGAATTTCGAATTCACACCTCTGTTCTTTTTTTACCTCCATGCTTGCAGCTTGATCTGCGTAATAATTTATGAAATATGAATCCAGGCTTGGTCAATGTGTTTCCACTAAATAAAGTTTTAATATGATGTTATAATTATGACAATTACGCCAGTGATCACGCTAACTCGAATCCACTCTGAATTTATCTGTATGTGTGTGTGTCGATCTCGATTATTTTTGTTATTAAACGCCGCTTTTAATGCACTTGCCCTCGTCGTGACCCGACG